TTTATTTGGACAGAAAAGAGGAGGTGATGGGGGATGTCTTGTATGTTGTGAATATATGTTTCTTTTACTGATTGATAAATAAACTTGTCAGTCAATGGACAGGCAGGATTTAGCCAAGTGGGAAATCCAAACAGGGATAAAGAAAGGTAGTAGGCAGAGTCAGGGAGACACCATTAGCTGCTAAGGAAGCAAGAGGCCTGGACACCACCATGTGGAGGTCCACAGATTAATAATAGTGGGTTAATAATTAAGAAAGAACTAGCCAATAAGAAGCCTGAGCCATCGGCCAAACAGTTTATAATTAATATAAACCTCTGTGTTTATTTGGGACTGAACAGCTGCAGGATCAGGCAGAACAGAAACTTCCATCTATGACACTTGTCCCTATAACACCTAAATCAACTTCTAAAACACCTGTCCCCCATGCTTGCTTTCTCTATGATCAAACTTGAGATTATCGTCGACATTGGCTAGAGACTTAGGGAGACTGCCCTCATTGGTTCCGTGGGACATGATGCATATTCAGAAAGATGTTCTACCTTTTATGCAGAATGATCAATCCTTTTCTATTTTAATTAATGACCATGGCACCCCACATGAAGGACAGAGGTCATTGGTAAGCTTTATTGTGTCTTTCATTACAGCAGCCCATGAAGCACAAGCAAATTACAGAGGGGACACACCCCATTTTCTCAACCTGTAGAGCGGTAGAAGAAGTGCTCCAAAGCTCCTTACATTCCCAATACCACCCATTTTAGATGATAGTTGTCCCACCTCACTGTCTCACCATCTTTTGTGTTTCTTTCTTTCTTTTCTTTCTTTTTTTTTTTTGGGGGGGGGGTCCAGGACCATTGGCTCCCAAATAATCACACAGAGACTTATTACTAATTGTAAATGCTTGGCCAATAGCTTAGGCTTGTTATTAAGTAGCTCTTGATTCTTAAATTAACCCATATTTTTCATCTATGCTGTTACATGGAGGCATCTTTTCCAAGCATGGCATATTCATCTCGTTTCTCTCCATGTCTCCTCACAACTCCGCCCTTCTTCATCCCCACACTCTCTTTTTCCCTGTTCACAAGTCCCGCCTAACCACTTCCTGCCTAGCTATTGGCCATTAGCTCTTTATTAAGCCAATGAGAGCAATGCATCTTCACAGTGTACACAGTATATAAAAAGACTATTCCATAACATTTCTCCCTTTTGTCTAATTAAAAAGGAAGGTTTTTTAACTTTAACATAGCAAAACTATATACAGCAAAAACAGTTATCAAGTAAGAATTACATTTACAATTAGCCAGTCCATCTCTATTTGGCAAATTTAGAGAAAATACCTTATTATCTATCTTATCATTGTGAGTCTGAAGTTTTATACCTAACTTTTTATTATAACTAAGGAAAACTGTAAGTTTAACTATTTAGTCTTTAACTCCATCAAAGACTCCAGAGAGATGTAATATTACCCTAATGACAGGGACATTCCTGTGTGTTTTCCATCTTTATGTGGCTTTTCCCCTTTCTATTACTTTACTCCTTTTTGAAAGAACTTATTTTAGGTGGGAACTGGTGGTGCATGCCTTTAATCCCAGCACTTGAGAGGCAAAGGCAAGTGGATCTCTGTGAGTTCGAGGCCAGCCTGGTATACAGAGATAGTTTCAGGACAGGCGGCAAAGCAATATAGAGAAACCCTGCCTCGAAAAACCAAAACCAACCAAACAAACAAAAAACCCAAAACCAAAAACTTATTTTATTATTTTTAAACTCTTTTCTATGACAGTCTATAACTTTTCTCCTTCCCTTCTCAAGCCTATGTACACTAAAGCATTGCAACTTGTTTAGAGGTTTTTATCAAAGTGGATCTGTCTTTATTGAGCATCTGTAGTATTTTCTGATCACACGAGACAAAGCTTAAACGTGTATGCCATTGTGGCTCAGCTTAGTGCATTATGTCAACACATGGTGGCCGGTGGCTGGACCCATCCTGTAGTCAGCTGGTGGAAGATGCATCTCTGTATTATGACTGACATGAGACTGTGAGGCCAGAAAGCTATGTTAGGGTCTGTTTTGTATGTCAGGAAGCTTTTCTTAAGCTTTTTGTAGGTTTTATGTGGCTATACATGGCCAGATGTCAGGCACCATTTATAGATATGGATTTTTGTCAGTACTGTGGGCACCCAAACAATCATACAGAAACTTAGTCCTAATTGTGAATACTTGTCTGATAGCTTAAACTTGTGATTAATTATCTCTCACATCTTAAATTAACCCGTATTTTTCATCTATGATCTAGCATATGGTGGTAACTTTTTTCAGTACAGCATGTTCGTCTTGCTTCACTCTGCAATGTCCTGGTGACTTTGTCATTCTTCATCCACAAGTCCAGCCTAACTTCTTCCTGCCTAGCTATTGGCCATTAGCTCTTTATTAAACCAATGAGAGCAACATATATATCTTCACAGTGTACAAAAAGACTATTCCATAACAAACCTCTGCATATCAGCTATGCAGAATAACTCTTTACCTGACCTTTTTGGAGAATGCTGGTTGTGCATTCCTCCTGGGTCAAACTCATTTGTGGCCTCACTCATTGCCTTTTTGTATTTTGAGACAGGGTATCTCTGTGTAACAGTTTTGGCTGTCCTGGAACTAACTTTGTAGACCAGGCTGGCCTGGAACTCACTGAGATTCACCGGCCTCTACCTCCCATGTGCTGAGATTAAAAGTGTCCATCCCTGTTCAACTTTCCCAATGTCTTATTAGACTCTCACCTTGTCTCTTATTAATTGCTCTAAGCCAAATATCACTATCACCCCGTATCTCTCCCATCTCTTTCTCTCTTTGGTATCACAGACTGCTTTAACTCCTCAGGAACACTCATTGTGTTCCTGGATTCTTCATAAAAACACTTTAACCCCTACTAATACCCCACAGCCTCTATGCTCAAACATTCACAACATCTTCATTCTCTGCAGCACTCAAGTTTATTGCTGCCTATCTGCTGCTGTATGGTCTGGGATTTGTGCCACGGTGTTCCTTTTTCCAAAACAGTGATACCCAGTGAAGAACCCTTGCCAATTTTCATCACAGGGTTTATAGTCATGGCATGACAAAGGAGTGGTTCACATCATGCCCTCTCTGAATCCTTAGTATGAGCACTGGTGTTGATACTGGATCAACAGGGCTGCCTGCTTCCTTAGCTATTTACTATGGGTTTTCCCCCTCAGTTCATTCAGGCTCTCTAAGGGGTGGCTCAGGCCATCCCTTACCCTCCTGGGCCAAACAGACGTGCTGGCTACTGTAGTGCTACAGAATCAGTGAAGATTAGATTTACTAACAGCAGACAGAGGTGGTCTGTGTCTCTTTCTCAGGGAAGAATGTTGCTTCTATGTCAACCAGTCAGGTATGAAAAGACAAGATCTGACAACTGTAGACGAAAAACCAGAAATGTAAGAAACAGCTAAATGTCTCTGGCCATTAGCCCATTGACAGTCCATATGGAATTGGATACTACCCTTCTAAACCCCCTTTCTCCTGCTTTACTTAATCCTACTAGTCTTACCCTGCCTTATAAACTTCTTGTCTAGATTTCAACAACAGATTTAAAAGATTCTTAACCAGACTTTTAATCAGTTGCTATTACAGTATTACTGGCCCCTAGCTAAAGAGCCAGAGTCCAGACACTCCTGATTATACCCTGACAGTGAAGATCAAGATTGCTCAAAGTACTTCTATGCCCCAATTCAACAGCAAGTAGTCTAATGATAATACCACCCCTTTCCTTTAACCTGATTGTTTACCAATAATAAACAAAAAAGAGGGAAGCGTAAGCCCCTTGATCTACATGCCCCTTCCCTGAGGATTTACAAGTGCCAGGTTTCCCCACAGAACACTAACTGTCCTAATGGTTGGACCCTGCCCTGCCCTACAGAGTAAAAAGCCCAAGCTGTGGACATGAAATCCCACCAATCCCTACCCTGGAAAGCTTCAGCCTGAATAGTTCTACACCCCCTCCCCAAGAAACTCTATATAAACCCTGCCTTCTGTTCAACCCACCCCCCCTGGCCTTTTCTCTCCCAATAAATCGCATGTGAGGTTTGTTGTTTGGTGTGACTTTGTGGTATTTCTTGACTCCTGACTGCCAGGATACCTTTCCATTTGAGCTGTGATCACTAAACTGACACCAACTGTATCTTATATGAATTCAAAGGACAGTTCAAGTATTGACTACAAAAAGTTTCACTTTCCTAATCACATCTCTCTTGCTTCTTAGCTTTCTTCAAAGTACTCACTATACTCAACTATATTATTAGTAGGCAATTTCCCCAAGGTTTTAGCCTTTTCTAGAATGTTCTTAGTCATCTTTTAAGACTTTTGCAACTTTTAACTGTCTTCCTGGACCCTCAAAGGTAGTAAGGGTTAGCAGCAGGTAAGTAAACAGTGGATTTCTCTCACCCGTTCTTGGTTTCTCCAGCAGCTGAGCAGACTAGCTATTACTTCAGAAGCTTGTGAAACATAAACATAAAACCAGCCCCCAGTGATTACTACAAGTATTCCAAAATACGTCATCTAAACTTTTATGTCAACCTTTGCATGCCCAATGCACTCAGAATGATAAACTGGATACACTTGCTGTCAGGGGGCCCAGGGGATAGATGAATACCTCACAGCAGAACCACACTGAATAGAGAGACTACTAAATCAGAAACCATTTTCTGAATGACCAACACATGTAAGACTGACATAATATTGAATGTGGATTTGAAAAAGACAATGTCAACTTCCAGCAATCAGTATTGGTCTGTGCTTGAAGAGACTTGTCTGTTCCAAGTGTTGGTCATCATATGACTTTTCCATAAGTTTACTAAGGGACTGGGCAGTCAGTACTCTAAACAGAATTTCAAGAAAATTCAGAAAAAATATTCACTATATTAGCCCTAAAAATTAGAAAAACTATAAACAGCCTATCTACCTAGCATGTAATATGACACTTCTACAATGTCTGTCAGATCCACAAAGTTTATTTTTAAAAATGTTAAAAACTAACCATACAGGGTTATTCCATATCCTTAAAAAGTTTGTTTCCCATGTCAAAGGAAAATACATTTGCAACATCTTGCATCTTTATAAAAGTAGAACTTGTGGATGCTGAGCTGCACTACAGTAGAGCCTATGGTTTGCATTAACCTACTCCTGCTCCCTACACCTAATGTTGCAGACACTGTTCAGGATGACTCAGGCCTGTGGCGCACACTGTGCTTACTGACAGAGTGAGTCTTTTCTATTGCTGCCACACGTTTATTTCAGATGAGTGTTTGAGTAGAAATACATCCCATGATTGTAAACATTCACCAAGAGCTTCCAGGATACAAGGAGTAACAGTGGTGGCCGGGGAATCACTTGCGGGCGTATGCTGAGATCATGAAGAATGCTTTGCACAATTATCCTAAGCCTCCCTTACTTATGCATCTGGAAGAAGGTAGTTCTGGGTAGACATTTTTGGTTGAAAACACCTGAATGTCATTCTAAAGACTACAATCAGCACCATTTTTACTTTCGTGGAATATAGTGAGTTAAATTCAGCAGTAGGTATGACTAATAACAAATTAAAAATAGTCTCAAGTCCCCCTTTGAATACACACAGAGTACTTCATTCCAGCTGATGCTAACTGGAGCCACGTGTGCATCTGTAGAATAGTAACTCCCCCAGGGCCACATGCAACCCGTAAGTCTATCACTTCTGTCCATGGAGGCAATACAAGCAGATTTAAGGCTGTATTCGGCTATGAAGAGTTCTGTCTCCTCTTTCATAGTCTATGTAGATCACACACATAATTCAAAACTGTAGGGTAGGAGGTGAAAGGTCCCCACATACTTTAAAATACTACTCTTCATACAATTCATTGCTAGTATTTTGACATATATAGGAGTGGGGGCACGGATACTTGTAACCACTTTAAAAATGCAACCCGAACTTCTAAACTCTGTCCCAGCATCCCTAAGAGTACGAGCTTTCAGACAACTGAACAATTTCATATCTGTCAGACTGTTCATTACAGTTCTTGGGCAAATGTCATGTTGTTCCCAAGAAGAATAAACATGTTTAAAATTCATTGCCATCCACCTTGGGATAGACCTGGTTGCAAAGAGAATGGTGTTCCAGGCGTGGAAGGATAGCTAGGGAAGCCATCTGGCTGGGCTGGGTAACTCTCCAAAGCAGATGCCGAATGGACCTGCAGGAAGAGGCACACAGTTAGCACAAGGGCTCCAATCCACATACAACCAGACAACACATCATGGGAAGACAAACTTTTAAAATATGTCAGGAGGTGGGTTTTTGATGCTGTTGTTTTGTAGAGATGAATTGCCTTACTGTTTATTATAGTTTAAGATAAATTAAATTGTAATGGTCCTGACTTTAGTTTTCATTTTAAATCTCCAAACTGAGATTTAAAAAAAATTCTATAAATGGGGGGGGGGGGGTAGGAGAAACAAAACAAGCAATTCATGCATTTGACTCCTAGCATCTTTGTTACTTCTGAAAGGAGGTAAGTAGAACTTGTGAATTTGAGGAAAGCTAAACGATAATCAAACCAAACTCTGTCTGGTAAGTCCCATTCCTGTCCACATTGGGCTGTCAAAACGATTCACCCCTTACCATCTTACTCCAGACACTGCATACCTGCTGTAATAAAGCCGACTGCGCAGCTGCGCTGTGCTGTAACTCTTGCAGAGACGACTGGGGGAGGAGTCTGGGAAAACCCAGGGATACCTGGGAGGGAAAGAAGGCCTGGGAAAACAGAGCTACCGGCAGCCTGGAGTCCAGATGACAAACTGAAAATAATCAGCAGAAAAACAGGTCAAGCTGCAGACAGGGCAGAACAGAAAGGGAAAAGCTGCTTCCGTATTTGGTAAAGGGCAGCTTAAAGATGGCAAAAACAAATCAGCTCCCTCCTCTGTGGGACAGAATTGCGAAGTGAGCCACTCAGTGTAGTAAAACTTACTCAGAGTGGATAACACTTTCAGCAACCCAAGTTATCACTCCACAGAACATGGAGGAGTCAAGGAATATTCTGGGCACTGGACTTGTATCCTCCCACCCATCTGGCCTAGCACATATATAAACGTCAATATCAATCAAGACGGCTACAGAAACTTGCTGAGTGTGTTGGCAGCCCAGTCACATACCCTGCTTGTGCCACCAGGGCGGAGTTGAAGTTGGAACTGAAGGCCGAGGCAAACCCAGGGAGAACAGGCGCAGGTGATGGGGCCGAGGCAGCCACCGGCAGTGGGGTGACTGCTACTGTGGATGGCGCCTGCAGCCCTGGGAATGAGGCCAGTGCCGGGGCACCACTTGGGGCACTGGAGACAGGGAAGCCGGGGTAGGAAGGGTTAGAGGCGGGCAGAGGGCCCTGGGTGACTGCGAAGAGGAGGGCACGGCAGTGGACAGGTTGGAGTGGGAAGGCTGCAGGCGAGGCATTGGAGGTGGGCAGCACTGGGCGCACCGGCGCGGAGCCGGGGTGTGCAGTTGCAGATGTGGTGGTAGAGGGCCCTGAGAGCGACACAGCAGGATTGAGGGAGGGACTACCCGGAATAGGGAAACTGTTGGTCAACGAAGTGAAAGGAGGAAGGGCTGTGAACACAGGAGCAATGGGCGGGAGGACGCATGTGGTGGGAGGGACATAGAACCAGCCAGGGGATTGCTCAGGCTGGAAAGCCCGGACAGTGCAGGGTTAAGGCAAGTGGACACACTGATGGGCACTGAGGTTGTAGGGTATCCACGGCCCAGAGCACCCGATAGGCCCAAGGTACCGCGAGCAGGAGTGCCTGGATGAGCTGGGCCTTTGAAGGCCGAAGGAGGGGGGCTCGTGGGCTCACTTTTGATCATAACGGGCACAGTTGCTGTGGCAGGGGCGGATGAAATGCTACCTGCATGGGTACCATGCAAAAGCGAACCTGAGGAGCCACAGCTGACTGGCATTGCTGTGGAGGAGGGGGTAGCCAGCGGAGACTGCGCAGGCAGCACTGGGGCTGAGGAGGTGGCGCTGGCCACAGGGGACTGCAGGCCTGGGAACATGGCCATCCCTGGGGGTAGAAGACCTCTGTGAGGCAGCAAGAGCAGCAGGGGCATAGCACTTGTTAGTGGCTGAAGCAGGGGAATCCGAGTTTTGATTGGGAAGTGAGGATAATGAAGCCAGCCCAGTTGTGACCGCAGATGACAAGGCAGATGAGTTGATTAAGTGTGTGTCGCTAGTCGTGAGAAAGCCCTTTAAGGCAGACAGAAGAGGGCTGTTTACACCATGAGGACCCCCGGCACTAGCGATTACAGAAGGAGCTGGGGTGGCTATGCCGTGGGATGCTGGTGGGAAGGGCAGAGGCAGGCCAGTAAAGACCGATGACAGGGAAGCCGTGCTTGGGTTACTGGCTGACCCGGTGGTGGAGCTGGCTGAGGAGTGGCTGGTGAACGGGGCACACGTGGAAGTAAAGGTCTCACTGGAAGTCAGCGTGGCCCTTGCTGTCGAGCTGGCCTGAGGGGATGGGGTGGGGGTGGCAGAGGGACCTGGCAGTGGCACTAGGCCAGAAAAAATGGAAGGGACGGGAGCAGGTGTGGTGCTGTGGGCGGAAGTAACAGGTGTCACGGGCACCGAGGGAGTCCGGATCACAGTCGGGTTCGCTGTAGATGGCTGAGGCGTTGTGAAAACCGATAGGGCAGTGTTGGGAGCATTCATTCCCGCCCCAGTGGCAGCTGCTGACGCGGATGGATGGTTTGCTGCCTTGACTGGGGACACAGCGGGGACAGGAGTCGCAGCAGGGAGTTGAAGGATTAGAACCATGAGGGGAGAAGAGTTGGCCTGCTGGGGTGGAAAACGCTGGGGAGAGAAGAGGCAGGGTTTATGCTGTATGTTGGAATGTCCTACTTAAAAAGAAACATAACCATGTCTTGTTATTGTTGTCATAGTTCACAAATACCAAAGAAAACCAATGGCAGGTATTAAGCGGCTCTTTACATGTCTGGGCTGCTGGGTGTCATTATCCTATCTTCATTTTGGAGCATCTGTGCGCAGGATGATAGCTATGCGCTGCTTGTGCCTGCCCATCATTGAGGAAACCATTCTTTTGCTACTTTTCTGCTTTATAAAAGTTGGGAGCTCTTGTGAGTAGGTAGTGCTGAGGCGTTGGCTTCACCCTGGGCTCCTCACTTGCAGACACCCCCTTCCTTAGAGATCTGAACACATGCATGGCCTCCACCTCAGGACCTGCGGGGCCCACATCCTGCATTTACACACACTGACCAGTCTACTCCAGCCCCTAAACCTCACTTACCCTGTCCTGGGGATTCATTTAAGTGTAACACTATGTTTAATTCCCCCTCTACTTCAGGGCTCAGTGTTTTAGTAAGTTTGTATCAGTGATCCTTACAGGACAGCTCCCAAACCACCCAAGAACTTGTTCTCAATATTATTTTGCGTTTGTTACGCCATCTTTATTCTGACCAACCCTATGGATAATTATTAAAAGGATTTGGGTTCCTCCTCCCAGGATGAGTTCAATGCTGTGTCCGAGGCAGCATAGACTGCTCCCTCCCTCTGCATCCATAACTACTGAAAGGCGTTTTCAGGGAGTAAGACAGACACTTAAGGAGTAATTGGGCTTCTCAACCCTTGGCATTTTTTTCAGAAAAGAAATGTGATAAGAAAATTAACAAACAATAGTATAAGAAGTGCAAATTCAGAGCTACTCCATATTCACATTATTCATTCAGGTGTATTTTTTCCCCTGCTCTAGGAGATTACACTTAAATCCTTGCACACGCTAAGTATACACACTATCGGATCCACATTGTAAGCAGTGACATAATTTCATGAAAATAGACTCATTCAGAGTCACCACGAAAACAGGTCTGTACTGTACTTGTGCATGTATTCTGCAAGAACCAGGATCATCAGGAATGAAACACGAGCCTGAGTTTATAAATAACGTACCACAGATACATTGCTCCAGTGGCCGGGAAGCACATGACAATTCAGTCTGACTCATGAATATGCTGAGGACCATGAACTTATAACAAAGCTCAAAGACAAGGCAAGAAGGTCCTCCCTAGGGTTCTCAGAGCCATTCCCACTGGGAATTTCTTCAACTACAAAGCAAAGGCTCCCTGCCACTAGCAGTCTCTGCAATAAGCTATGAAGCAAACAAAAGCATCCCCAATCACATAACACATCATACATTCCTGTCACCTAATGTACTACTCAACATCACACACTATCCGCCACACCCCATGGGTCACTTATGTCCACCACTCCATCTGTCCTCACATTAATCCTGACACCAACACTCCCATTTTATACATAGGTAAGCTGAGGCTTGGTGTAGCAAAGCCAGATGTTTAAAGATCATACAATTAAGCGGCTTGATTATAGAGAGCATACATAAGGTCCTCCAGCACAGCAAACAAACAAAAACAAAAAACCCCACAACAAATAATATCATGTGATGGGGACCATGGCTAACCACCACAGAGGTAGTCTTCATTACTGTTTAGTAGTTTTTTTTTTTAAAAAGGGGAGATTTTTTAAAATTATAAAACTAAATGTAAAGGCTTTAAAGTTATTTCCATAAAGTCAAATGACTTATTTATAAAGGCAGGTGGCTCCGCAGTGACAGTAGGAAACACTGATGTCTGTCCTGTTCACTCTGCACTCCCTCCTTTACATAGGAACTGCCACATCTTCTGGGCGCCTTCACAGGGAGGGGCACCTTCCCACCAAGACTCCCTATCTTGGCACAGTCATCAGGGTTAAGAGCTGCTTTTCTCCCTCCCTTCTGTTGCCCATCCATGACTGGAGAATGAAGTTAGGGGTTGCCACCAGGTGGCGCCACCAAGGCCATCTGTGCTCAGGGCCCTTTGCTCCTTACCACTTTCTACATTAGGATTTACTAGACTTACTGTCTGTCAGAAAGCGTTATCTTCATGTGTATATGAAAATCACCTTTCCCATATCAGAACGCTAAGTGAAGACAGATGTGCATGCCAAACAGGACACAAAGTTATAAAATTAATTTGAATCCAGATATGTAGATTTCCTGAACATAAAATCTATCATATCAAGGCACTCTTAGCAGGTATGTGTTACTGTACACCTAGGAGCCGCTCTCTCCAGAGCTACTCCACAGATGCTAAACTCAAGTTCCCCGTGAGAAAAGGCCAATAATGACAATCATGACAGGTGGCAGTTACCTTTGGGTCCCTTAGGTACTTACTTTGACTCTGTGTAGGTTTTGACTGACTGGAGAGGTCTTCATTGTCTATGTAAAAATAAATGATTTCAAGCTTTAGTCAGGCTATTCCCCATCATAATCACAGACAGATATCAAAAAAAGAAAAATCAAGACATAAATAAATAGACATCATTGAAAGCACTGAAGGAAAAACAGAGGACACTCACAAAAGAATCATAACTGCATGAATAAAACAGGTTGTTATGATACAGACACATTTCTATATGAATATACAAGCACCTAGTGACTTTTTAAGCAGCCCACAACAGCAGGTCTTTACCTGTTCCTACTGGGTTCGGAGTGTATGGAGGTGGAGGAGGGACGCCTGGAGCTATCACACTGGCTAAAGGTACCAGACCCGCATTGTTATAAGCACCTAAAATAAAAACACAACAGAAAGAGAGAAAACTTTAGGGTTCAAATCTGTGTGAATGCAGTTACGTGGCTTATTTTAAACTGCCATTTCATAGAGATGCATCTCACAAGGAGAGTTTAAGTGAAGACTAAGCAGGGGAAGACAAACCCCACTGCAAGCCCATCCCAGACAGATTCTGAAAGATGAGGTGGGCTGAACCTGCCCCACTTAAGTCCAAGTACACACACTTGACCTTTTCTAAATGCAGAGATACCAGCTACCCAAGAAAAGGTATTTAGGGCAATTTACCAAAGTGAAAACCTCTAATAATAAAGCGATTAAACAATCTGCAATTAACTTAAACAATCAGGAAAACACTCTAAAACTAAACTATACCTCCAGTAGCATGGCAGACTAGGCTACAGCAGCTGGCCATCAGCAAAATAAACTCTCAGAACTGAACTGATGTAGATTTCCTAAGCATATAAACCAGCCCATTCCTTCAATTTAATGAACAGCAGAAAGAAGCAAAACCCAGAAAACGCTTACTTGGTGCAATAGTTGCATGTGGCCGGCATGGAGGTATTGGGTAGGGGACAGGTTTGTGTGGATTGTATGTTGAGGGAGGCTGGAAAGGGGAAGCACAGTGGTTAGACATCATCAAGAAAGCATCTCCTAAAAAAAAAAAAAAAATACAAGTTGATTTTCTAAGCACCTGGTCCTAAGAGGCTGAAGATGCCCCAGTCATTAAAGCCTCCAACTAAGTAAAGTCCTTGCTTTAATAAAGGTGGTTCTTACTTAATTCCAAAGGTACAGCTTGCCAAACATGGCGTTTTTCTTTTTAGCAATCAATCATCCTCAATCATCTCCAATAAAGATCAGACCTGTCCCTGAACAGCAGGCACCTTTCTAGTCCAGCCTAGGCCAATCCCAGAAATTCCTATCTTCATGAGGAAAACGTCCGAATCTTCAGGGTTGGTCTCTCCGACACATAATGACCTCAAGGGCAATGTCCTCTTCACTTCATTAGAATCTTAGCACCAGGCAACCTGGCAATCACTACACAATGAAGTAGGAATTTGGTGTTTTGTTCTTTTGAAATCTATAGACTCACAAGCACTTTATTTTACAGTTGATGGCACTTACAGAATCTCAGATATCCAAAGCTACACTAAAAGCTGTACTTTACCCAAAGGGATAAACTGGTAGGAAAGTGCTGTGGAACAATCCTTGTACACTGTAAATATATATTGCTGTCATTGCCAATGGAAGCTGATTGGCAGAGAGCAAAGCAGGATTTTTGAGGCACAAGAATGCAGGGAAGAAGGGAGCAGTCAGAGGAGTCATAAGAGACACAGGAAGAAGCAAGATGAATGTGTTGTGTTGAAAGAAGGTAGCATCACATGTCACAGGGTAGATAACAAATATGGGGTAATTCAAGTTGTAAGAGTTAGCATTTATAATTAATATTACATCTCCATGTTTGTTATTTGGGAACTGGTAGGCGGGAATGTCCATCTACAAATGGCACCCAATCTGGGATACCTACATCTACATAAAAGCCAAAAAAGAGTTAAAAGGGTTCTCAACACACAAAAATGGAGCCAAATGCAGAGTCCTAGTCTCCCATGCCAGCTGCAGTACAGACACTTGTCTCCTGGTGGCTGTCAGCATGCCATGTGCTAAGTCACATGGTGGATTCCCACCATCTTCACACAGGCTGCAGTACAGAGAGGCGTCTCACAGCCACTGCCTGGGAGCTGGGGCTGCCAGCTTGACCTCAAGCTCCACCAGTACACTGCATAGAGAGTTTGGAGTTTGTTCATGTAGACAAAGAGTTACTGATACTCAATAAAGACAGATCCAGGTGTTAAAAAAGAAAGGAAAAAAAAAAAAAAAAAAAAAAAAAAACACCTCAAAATGGGTTACAGTGTGTTTGGGCTTGGGAGAGAAAAGAAAATGGGTATAGACACTCATAAAAAATATATAGATTTAAAATAGTATAGTCCTTAATAAGGCAGCAAAGTAATAAACCACACCAAGATAGGAAATACACAGAGTCTAGATCCTGTGTGTTATTGTGTTGTCGTTAAATTTTCTGAGTGCTAACTGCTAAGAAATATTGGATTACGGAAACTGCTAGATTAAACCAATTTAATTTGATTTCAAAGGGTATGTTACTTTGGGGGAGAGGTTATGTTTTTATTTCTACAGGAGATGAGAGATTGTGGATTCAGTCCAGGTTAAAGATGATCACGTTGATGGAAGAAGACCCCTTGAAAACCCAGACTACAGACCTGACACAAACCTAAAACACTACAAAACATGTGACATATATTTTACCTGTTCAAACGTAAAACAAATAATCATATTGGCTAACGTGTGTACAACACAAGTCTATACTTGTACAATACAGATACATGTTACCTTTAAAAAGTTTTTGTATTTTCAGAGCAAAGGGACCAGACGCCAATGAAAAGGCCCAGGTGATTGGAGTGTCCAGCATCTCAAAGTATCTCTGTTGCAGCTTCCTCAGAGTTCTGCATCCAGAACAGCTTCAAGGCTACTGGCTAAGATGGTTTAACCTCACACACTATTCCAATCAAAACCTAACAATCATCCCGATTCTCTCAAGGTTCTCCCAAAGATAGCAGCACCCATGGACAACAGGAAGTTGTCTAGAAAATGATGCCCACATTCCCAAGAGATGGGGGTATGGGGAAAAGTTTTGGTTATTTGATGTATTATGATGTTTGTCATTATTTAGGGAGATTGGTTGTAAGTTGTTTTTGGACATAGTCAAAAAATAGCTAAACAAAAGAGTCAAATTCAAAGATTCTTTTCTAAAGAAAAAAAGGGGGGATATGATATAGGAATGACAGGAAAAAAAGATAGATTATCGAATCTACTTTAATCCAAAAAGCAACTATTAATCTCAAAATATTTTCTGTTGGTATGGATTTTAGTTTACTGATACCAATTTAAAGTTAATTTTGTTCTCTGTATGTATGTTTCTACTCTTGTTTAGGATATTATGTTTATGCAGTTTATTTAAAAATGTATACATAGAGGCTGAAGAGATGGCTCAGAGGTTAAGAGCACTGGCTGTTCTTCCAGAAATCATGAGTTCAATTCCCAGCAACCACAAGATGGCTCACAACTATCTATAATGAATCTGGTGCCCCCTGTTGGCCTATAGGCATACATTCAAGCAGAATACTGTGTATATAACAAATAAATATAAAAAAAATGCAATATATAATTAAGAAATGTAGATAATAATCAAATCTAATAGTCACATTAGATATTCTATCAAGTTCAAACACAGATATATTTAGATAGACGGTCTTCAGACACTTCAAAGACCTAGAGAATATAGCATTTAATATGTTTAATAATCCAAGACTTCATGACAGTGAGACATGTCTGCTCCTGGCAGTACCAATCTAATTCAGAGATGATGGGCATTGAAGAAACTCCATATGCAGTTTTTTTTTTTTTTTTTTTTTTTTTTGTTTTTAGCTAGCCATTTGGGCAAAGGAACTGCCCTTGCCTCAATTGCTGACAGGCAACTGCTAAGCTAAACTAACTGCCAAGACGACAAGGTAGAATAGTCCTTTAAAATTCCCTGCTTCTCAAAAATGCCTGTCAGATATACTAGGCCTGTATGTAGGTCAAAGTTGGATGCTCCAATATTACAAAAGAACTTTTATTGTTACACAACATTTCACCCTTCTGGGGTCTTTGATGACGTCTCCTGAAAGCCTTTCTCATTTATTACATTAAGTACCAATTAATAGTCTAGGTATCAATCCACCAGAATTACCTTCTGATACAGAATATATACTAGGTGCTTTATATTCTCAAAAAAGCCCCAGAGAAAGGAATTCCTTCTCATCGGGGCATCAGCCGTAAGAGCTGCAGCCTCTGGATCTCACGCTACATAGCCTTAGTGTTTTTCTTTGATATATTGCTGAGAAGTCTCCTTTAATCAATTAAAAGAATGTTTTACAAGTCATGTCTCCCCCCTAAGACATGAGGCACCCTGCTTTTGTCAAGACCTTATCTGCCTTCCTGATTCTGAGAGACATGCATGTCCTATTATCAGAGAGTGAGCCTTGTGGGAAAAAAAAGAACTTTTATAGAATTTTATTTTGGGGGGCGGTGGGGCTTTTAAGACAGGGTTTCTCTGTATTATTTTGGAGCCTGTCCTGGAACTTGCTCTGTAGACCAGGCTGGCCTCGAACTCATAGAGATCCACCTGCCTCTGCCTCCTGAGTGCTGGGATTAAAGGCATGTGCCAGGAACACTGGGCTCTTTTAGAGAAGGGAGGACTTCTAAAGAGAATTTTTTTTTAAGAGAGCTTTTAGAGAAAGAACTTTTGAGGAGAAATCTTAGAGATTTTTGAGAGAGAACTTAAGGGGCAGAACTTTTTTTAAAGAATAAAGAGCCATGAGAAAAATGATTCGTGAATGATTTGATTCATTGGCCTTTAGATCTTATTAGTCAGCCCACCCACCTACTGTAAGCCCCCTGCCTGAACCCTCAATAGGAGTTAAAGACTAAATAGTCAGGCTTAAAGCTTTTCTTAGTTATGAAAAAGGTAAATTAGGTATAAAGCCTTAGGTTCACAAAGATAGATAATAGATTATTTTCTTTAATTTTGCTAAACACAAATGGACTGGATATTGTAACTGTACTTCTTACTTGGTAAGAATTTCTTTTGTATATAATTTCTTGTTGTATTTTGCTATGTTTAAGTACAAATCTTCCTTTTTTAATTAGACAGAATAGGGGAATGCTATGGAACAATCTTTGTACACTATAAATATGTATTGTTATTGTTAATAAAAGAGCTGATTGGCCAATAGCTAGGCAGGATTTTTGTGGCAGAGAGAATGAAGGGGAAGAAAGGCAGAGTCAGAGGAGTCATGAAAGACACAGAAAGAAGCAAGATGAATGTCCAGTGTTGAAAGAAAGTACCACCACATGGCAACTGGCTAGATAAGCAATATGGGTTAATGTAAGTTCTAAGAGTTAGTTTGTAACAAGTCTAAGCTATCAGACAAGCATTTATAACTAATATTAAGTCTCCATGTTGGTTATCTGGGAACTGGAAGGCAGGAAGGAAAACCCCACCTACAGGAAGGCACCATTTGCTCCTGGCCTCAGAAACAGCCATCGCTGATCCTCCTATCATGAATGGGCAGAGAATGCAAGGTCTGCGTGTGGGCCACTAGGACTTCTGCACTCCCTCCACTCTGGAGGTCCCATTCTCCTGCTCAATTTACATTCCCAGTCATTGGCATCATTCTCTTGAAAGGACAAGCCCAGCTGCATCACTGATATTGACACTAGTTAACTGACAGAACTCTGGCTAAAATACACAGCACAGTCCAACCTTCATCTAAATAGATAAATGTGGTTGGATTAAAACACTTACCCTCCAAAGATACGTGAACACTACTAAGTACTTATACTACCTACCCTAGGCCATTCTCTCTGATCTGGAATTTCTACTACATTTAAACTTTGCAACACACACACACACACCTCTCACTTTATACAGAAAGCTACACATATAGAAATTAACACTTGTTTTCTCTTTTATTTCAACACATACCGGCTTGGATGGTCCAAGAATTCGTGCTGCTATTCCTTTGCCTTCATTGGTATTTTCTTCACCATCCTTTTCAGAGGTGTGCCCTTTAAAAAAAAATAAAATAAAGATAGTTGAGACTTTAGACAACAACAAACAACTACACTGTTCTATTCTGAAGAAAGGGACTCAATTTGCCAGGAATGAGACATGCATTCTAGATCAATATTACCCTAGCTAGTTGCCTGACCTCTTTACCCTACTGTGCCATGGAAGCAGAGGGGATGATAGAGGGAAGGATGGCATGTACTTTAATACCACACACACACACACACACACACACACACACACACACCCAGAAGCTGAAAAAGAAACCTGGCAACTGAAAACCCATTAGAGACTGCTCTATAGGAACAGATCGGAATAAGCCTGTCTCTGCAGGCTGTGTCCTTAGAAGATAGGACACACTGTGATGGAGCATGGCTTCTAAGATGGCCCCTCTGGTCCTTGCTTCCCACCATCTATCTCAGAAAAACCAGGGCTGACTTGTGTCACTAACATGACATTAAAGAATGCCACCGATTTCCAAAGTCAAGCCCTAAAGAGGCCTTGCTGAAGTTCCCCCTGCCTCTCCTTGGATAGACTCCTGACAACAAGTAACATTAACTTGCCAGGCATTTAAGTGAGCCTGGAAAGAATATTCACGTATGCCAGTCAAGCATTCAGATGAAACTCAGGCCAGAACTAGAGCTAAGCCACAGCTTCCTGAATCACAAAAGCTACAGGAGTATGATGTGGTGTACACTCTTTCAATCCTAATGATTAAGAGGCAGTGGTGGATGGGATCTCTATGAGTCCTAGGCCAGTCTGGTCTACACAGTGAGTTCCAGGTCACTCAAGGGCACGGAGTGAGACCCGGCCTCAAAAACCAAACCCAACAAACAAATAAAAAGCTATTGGGAATAATAAATGTTTGCTATTTAATCCATGAAGCTCTGGGGTTGTGACACAGTTAATAGAAATGTAACAACTTTTGAAAAGGTTCTTTTCAAGGGCTTTGAGGACCACCCACTGGTATCCAAACAAGATTCTTATAGGCTTCATCATGCAGTTTCCGAAATGGGTTCTCAAATACACAACTGTCAAAAATGCTGAGTCTACTTGGAAAAAGAAAAGCAAAATCCCCATTTGTCTGGCATGTTCTGAAGGTAACAGTCAGTTAATGGCATTTATACATGAACTTTCAACTGTCTACTAATTAAGTTGAAGACATGAGAGTCCTTCCCTTTGTAGAAGCATTATAAGATGGCATATTCTTATATGTAGCACATATGTGCACAGATCTGTGCTACAGTCACACTTAGTCATGGGAAATTTTGTGTATGCAAAAGCATGCTTACAGGGGAAAATCCCATTGATGCGGCTGGGTTTTCCTTTGGGATAGGGGTTTCCTGGGATGGTTCCACATGAAGATATCATGGCATGAGGGGCTTTGCAACCTGCTTTGAAAGCCTGTAATGCAAAAAGAAAAACAAATCAAAAAGACAGTGATTAACAAAAATCAGACTTATCATATCATGTATTCCAGATAACAGGAAGTCCAGGTAAAGCCACGAACTAAGGAAGAGTATGAGGGAACGGCATTCACATACCCACCCATCAATCACCACTGATCTAAACAAATGGTGAGTCCAAAGAAGTGAGTTATTACATGGAACCATGGTTTCATTACCAAGCCACCATCACTAGTACTACAAGCAACAGGCTCAAGAGAAGTCCACTATCTAGCAGCAGGGTGTGGTGCACACACCTTTAATGCCAGTGCCCAGGACACAGAGGCAGGTGGATCTGAGAGTTTGAGGCTAGCCTGGTCTATATAGTGAGTTCCTGTTCCATTTCTTCAGTTAATTATCGAGAAAAAAATGTCTAAAATGACACAAGCCTGGCTCATGTGAATGCATTTACTCTGAAAATGTTTATAGCTCTCTCTCACACACACAAATAATGGGGGTGGTTCAGCAAAAAGCACCTTCTGGTTCTTTCACAGGCATTTACATGCATGTGCACATACTCACACACAAAAGTAAAAACAAACCAAATTTTTTTTATTTAAGAAAAGTTTTTTCATTTTCTATACCAACCCCAGTTTCCCCCTCCCCCCCACCTTCTCTGGCTCTCCCCCCCTTCCCACAACCCATTCATTCCTCAGAGGGAGTAAGGTCTTCCTTGGGGAGTCAACAAATCATTTTTGAAAGCTTAAAAAGCAACCCCAAAAAGCTAGACTACTGAAAAAGCAAGAATGACTTATTGCAGTATTCAGTTGTGAGACACAGGAAATGGATTTAGGTCTATGGTGTTTACATTGCACCCTAAACTTCTAAGATGGCACCTTAGACACGCTGAGCTAGTGCTCAGTGCTTTGAAAGGCAAATATACTCCAGTGGATGTATACTGTAGTAGGAATAAAAGGTATTATGTGCAGCACACACACAAGTCATATTCATATCAAAGTACTTACAGGGATGCTGTTTGCATTTATAATTACTTTTATAAATCCCCAATACACACAATGACATTAACTGTATAATCCAGCCTCCAACTTTAAAACATCTCCAACCACTTCAACTTTAGTGTGTGTGTGTGTGTGTGTGTGTGTGTGTGTGTGTATGTGTGTGTGTGTACACACACACACAGAGTACATCAATTTGGTCATAATAAACTACACTGGTCAAATGTCCTTACATATAAATTTGTATATTTCTTCCTTAGGACAAACTTAACAGTAGAACTTTTGGACTAATTCATTTACATTAACAGTTCTATAGAGCAGTTCTATGGTCCCAGAACAGTGCTGAACCAAAAGAGTTATGCACAGAATACATTAGAGGGGGGAAACCCCCCCCCCCACACACACATTGCATATTGTCTTATATATAAGATATTGTCAAGAAAACCAGTGAGAATGCTGTTAAAGAGATGAGAGATGAAGGCTAGATGAAGGCTGGACATTGGTGGTGTGTGCCTTTAATCCCAGCACTAGAGAGGCAAAGGCAGGTAGATCTCTGTGAGTTCAAAGCCAGCCTGGTCTACAGAGTGAGTTCCAGGACAGGCTCCAAAGCAATTCAGAGAAACCATGTCTTGAAAATCCACCCCTCCACATACACACCAAAAAAAAAGTGATGTGAGGTGAGGTTCATCTTGGTGATGAAACAAGGAGAGAGGCAACACTGCCCTTCCTGAACTCAGGAGGCTTTAAAGATCACACAGGTGAACAGCGGCCCTCAGAGAGCATGAGCTCCTTCAAGCAGGCTTCTACTTTAGTGGAGAGGCAACATGACCCTAGGAATTTGCAAGTGTAAATGGCAAGTGGAGGTTCCGAAGCTTGGGTAGATACCCTGCACCTTTTACACATTTTTCTTAATGAGGTGGAGTTTTGTTTCAGTACTCGTCTCCTATGAATTTGACTACTGTAAGTCTGCTGACAGAACAAGTGTGAAGTCATTGTTCCCAAGCATATGAAGACAGAGTGCTTGGCCCTGTGGCAGAGCTGCAGTGCCCCACAGGGTGACCACCAATGGATTTTCATTCCTGTGTGACTTCTGCCCTCACAGCTTTTTCTACAAGACCCTACTGGTGCTCCCTCTTGGACAAGAATAACTACGTCTAAGTTTGTCCCCAACACTGCCACAGTGAGGCAGGTGCGTCACTGTTCACCAGTACCCGAATCCAGCATGACATCTGCACAGCAACTGTGAGGATTACCTGCTCCAGGACTCTTTTACACCGTTTCTTCTCTGACATGTTGATCCTGAATAAATCTTCAATGGGACGAGAATTCTGTGCATCCACAATGTTTCTGTCAAGGAAACATGACTTAGCTTCTGTGTGAGGATCCGGGCAGACACACCAAAGGTCAGACACGCTTTGTGTTTATGATTTATCAGCACATACTGGACTGTAGAATATACTGCCTATGAATAAGCAACTTGCCCATCCTTAAACTTTGCCTAAGAGTCCCTTTCCTTCTCTTCATCTCATGCTTACCTATGTTCTCAAATGTCAAGTGTGGAGCACTGCACAGCCTGACACCATTCTATCACTCTTGTAATTGCAGGCTCTGAGGCTACATGCACCCTCCTCAATAAACATCCTAGGTTTTTACCAGTTTGCTTTTTGAATTACTCAAGATGGGAAGGAGGCAAAGCAAATACTGAAATGTAGGGGTGTGAAACAGCCTTTAGACTGAGAGCCATGTCTACATATGTAGGAAACACAGGGGTGTTGACTATGTAAAAGACACTAGAATCCAGTACCATGCTTTCACAGAATGTGGGCATCTTTGTTTGTTTTGTTTGGAAATGGGTTCTTACTGTCTTACTCAGGGTCTTCTGCCTCAGCCTCCTAAGTTCTGAGATGACAGATGTGTGCTATCACAGATTCCATTAGAGTTCTGCTTCCTTACATGATTGACATATTAGCACAGATCACTTTCCATAGACTATTTCATTATCATTCTGTTGCCTCACGTAGCTGTCACACTAACACATATCAGTGACTTTAAAAGGCCAGTGAGGTTCCAGATTTGAACAGGCAGTAAAGGGAGTGAGTACTCACGAGGCCAAGAGCTCCAGAGCAGCCAGCTTGTCTTTACTGAAGGTAAAACAGCTGAGGATGCTGACCACTTCTGCTGGGTGGACGGCCACCATTTTCTATTATAAAACATAACGTGTTTCAGTGTGAGACTCTATGCCAGACCTTACCTGCTTCGGGGAAGTATAATTGTTAGTATAAACATTTCAGGACACAGCCTAAACTTAGCCAGGAAGAACAAAAGCAGGTTAGCCTCAGCAACTCGAGGGAATCCTAGAAATACTGAGGCACGCTTGGACTCTTTTGAGTACAATCATTTCAGAAGCAGGTCTAAGTTCTGCATGTGTGTTTTAGATCTGTTTTCCAATGTGCTTGCCTGCACCAAGTGTAAGCTCCTCTGAATGGCCATCTGAAAGGCCATGGACAGAGCTGGCATGTACACAGGTGACTCAACTCATAGTGCAAGGCACAGGAGTCACAGTTGGGGAAAGGACTGAGCTTCTCTCCCCACATCAGGGCTCTCTCGAGTCTATAGTAATGCATGGTGGGAGATGCTGCAGAGTCTGCATCCTAAGGGTCTAAATCCGAGAACTCTGCTTTGCAATAAGCATATTCCCCCAATTTGCCAGTTAGGACTGGCACAGAATTTAATAGTAGCACAATGCAATTTCACACTTTTTAACACAGTCATTTGGAGTTTCACAGTATAATGGGATTTAAGGTTAGCTTTCTAACACATACCACAACTTGATCTGGGTTATGCAAAGGTAGGGGGAATGAAACATTGGCACTTCACACATGGGCAAGAAGGGAGGGTCACTCACATGCTGTAGGGGCTTTCATGGCCTTCAGCTGTGGTTCTGCCCAGGAGAAGTACCTTAGGAGGTCCACCACCTGCAAGCAAAGAGACTCTTCAGTTCTCATGACAGTGTCTGCACACATTCCTTTAAAACAGATTCTCACACTTGGGATTCCTGTCACCGTGTGTGGAAGATGAGCATGGCACCAGAGTATAACAGTGTGACAAAGCACTTCAGGAAGACTTAAACTCATTGCAGGACAGGCCTCATATCAAGTGTTCAAATTTACAAGCTGTTCTCACATCACTACATGAGTGTAGTGGCATTCCCTGTTCACTCCCCACAATACCACAATACATGTTTTTCTCTTCTTTCTATCTTCCTTTTTTTTTTTTTTTTTTTTTAAATAAAGGAGACATACAATCTAGAGTTGGCCTGGCAGTGCCATGACTGTGAACACCAGCAAGGCAGGAGGCTGAGGCAAGAGAATCTTAAGTGCAGGATGAGTCTCAGCACCTAAACAAGTCTCCATCTTAAAATAAAAATTAAAAAAAAAAGAGGGGGTCTGGGATGCAATGCAGTTCAGTGGAGGGGCACTTGCCCAGCATGGGCAAGGCTGGGGGGTTTAATCTTTAGTATCACAAAAGAAATTAACTATTAAAAGAAAGTAATAAGGATATGCAGGAAATGGCATATATTGAAGAACAGGATGTTGAAAAGTTAGGTGGAGAGGGAACATTGGCTTGGTGAACACTACAAACGGAACCGACAAAGCGCATGCGGGGCGGGGGCAGCTCCGTCATTCACTGGGGTGAGGGATGGCCTGCAGCTCCACTTCCGCCCTTGGATCTCTACTAATCCTTGGAGCTCACTACAGCAGTCAGTCACAGATCTGCCTCAGCACTGCACCATGAGTCAGAGAAACAGGATCTCAGGGGCCCCCACCACCACCCACAAACAGAGGCCTTAATGCAAGGGTGAACCCTGTATGCGCCAGTCAGGGGTAAGCAGAGCACTGGGGTTCCCTCACCCTGGGAACCTCAGAGCGCGCGGGGGGGGGAGGGGGGAGTCAGCCTATTGGCTGTGGAGCACAGTCCAGCATTTAGACACGGTCTTCTTTAGTCAGAGTGAATTTCAAAACTGTTCTAGATACTAGACAAATTTAGTAAAATTTATAAATTAATAAACCCGAAAGTTATGATTTCTGCTCATGAGTGTTTTGCATATGCCTACATATGTGCACCACAAGTGAGCCTGGTGCTCCAGGAAGGTATCAAATGCTTTGGAAGTAGAGTTTGGGATGGTTGTGAGTCACTATGTGGGTGTTGAGACAAACCTGGGTCCTCTGCAAGAGCAGGAAGTGCTCTTAACCACCCAGCCATCTCTTGAGCCTTTGTATTTTTCCCCCAAGAATAACTGACAGTTTAAGTAGCTTAAAAAAAAAAAAAAAAAAAAAAAAAAAAAAAGATACTGTGTTTTTAAATGGCCTTAGAGTAGGAATTGTGGAGTAAGTACACAGCAATGCATGTGTCCCATGCATATATTCTGTAAAGTCTCTGGACAGATTTAGGAGCTTCTGTAGCTCTGGCACAAAGAGGGAAACCAAGTCAAAGCAATTCTAAATGTATCCAATGAGTAAACAGACCCACCCAAACACTAGTACAAACGGCTTTGAAGAATGACAAATACCTGTTCACTGGAGAAGTACCCATGAACATATTCAATTGCTTTTAATTTATATTCTGTCAAAACAGCCTAGAAAAGGGGGGTAAAAAAGAAGTAATGTATCAGCAGCATGTTAATATTCAGCTACCCACACTACATTACCAACCCCCCCCCACCCCACCCCCAACCTGATAGGGACTGGTCTCATTCAGCTCTGGCTGTCTGGCTGGGAGCAGCAGCAAAGGGGGCAACAAGAAACCCGACCTTTTAGCCCTGCTAGGGCTCCATGAGCACTTACACAAAAGGAGTAACATTGTAACAGAGCCCAAACTAGTAGAAATTATGTATCAAATTTCTGAATATCTACTTAGTTTCAAAATATATCTAGCTGATACAACTTGCCAGGCCTTTTCCTTTTTGTTATTTCTTCCTAGAGTAATCTTACTATGTAGTCCAGGCTGCCTGGAACTAGCTAGCAATGTAGCCCTCAGCAGCCATCCTAGAGCTTGCTTCCTCATTCATAAAGGCGGATCCCAATCATAATCCTCAACCAGCTGCAGTGAGGCCCTGATAACCAGAGAGCTGACACACAGCAGGTGCTTGACAAATGACAGCCCTCCTCTCTGTCTCAGCAAACTATTCAAGGCTAAGGGAAGTCACATAGCTCTCCTCCAAAGACGGAAAGATCAGGCAAACAATCCTAACTTGCAAGCCACTCATTGTAAAATACCAACTAGCCGTTTTCTCCTCACTACAAAACAGATGTAATACTGGCATTTCTCATACATACCATTCTACTAGGAGCAAATGCAATGACCAGTCAAAACATTCAAGGTGCTCAATAGTTTACCTTTTACAATGCACTCTGGGTAATGTACTGAGGCATGTGATCATCATCGTTACAGAGACAGTCAAAAAAGCAAGGTTCAGGACCAAATCCTGGCTTGAGCTGATGACACCAATCATGTTTCAAATCTTCCCTCAATGCTGGAGATGTTCAGCTGTGTCCCCCACCCCCACCCCCACCCCCCCGGGCGTGGAGCTCAGGGTTACATGGTCTTAATATCAGACTCCTGGGCGAACATCAGCTACCTAAGAAGGCTTGGCTTGCCAGCTGTAGACTCAGGAGTACACCATCTAACTCCACAGATTAGGAAGCTGAAGTCAAACAGGAAGTTCATACTTATTAATAGCTCTCATTATCATCATTTTGAAAAAAAAAATACCTCTCCTATTTCTGTCCCAGGTGACTTCTCAGAAGTGTCTACTTAAATGACAGGAGTGTCAGCCAGAATTATCTTGGATGTACAGAAGAGGCATCCTGATTTAAAGTGACATAAAGCCTAAGCACAATTCCTAACAATTATAACCCCACCCCTATTTAGAAATGCCTGTTTAATTCCACTTTAGTGGACTAAGAGTGCCGATGGGCTTCTCCAGCTGGCAAGCCAACTAAGACCAGAAATATGGACTTACAGGCTGTCTCAGATGAACAGACTTTCATCTCCAGAACCTTTCCAATTCCCTCGTTAATACTTATTACCAGTCATTTTCACAAGACTGAGAAGGGAGAGGACATACACACACACACTGATATCTGTATTGCTCCAAAGCCTGTATTCAGGTCTACTTTAACTTTAAATTTATTTTCTCACAAGAGTGGTTAAAAATCAGCTGAGGAACTAAGTGTGGCAAATTGTAAGTAGATGGTAAAATGACATTTTGTTTCAAATTTTAATTAGATAAAGAGAATCTGCAAGAGCAGAAGTCTATTTGAAAAGAAAGAAGTCAGCACCATCAAATATGAAAGATTAATTCCGTTAATTTAAAAGGGGGGGGGGTCTTACAAAGAGCAAAGGAAGAACTATAGATCTAGCGGCAACGTTTGCAGTGAGTCTTACAAGCTGAAGTAAATAAGGACAGCAGTGTATGGAAACAACTCTTCTGGTGTCAGTCAGGAGCACCAGTTTGAGACGCCAACTCGATGCAGGACAGCCCAGACCAAGCGCTGGGATGGTGGCTCACATCTAATAGGTATTTTTGCACAACAGATACTTTTAGACTCAACACTACATTCCAAAAAATTTACTGTCTGGTTCAACCCAGTTAATAGTAAATACCAAAACAATCTCAAAAAGCAGAAGGAAAAGGAAAAGCAAGGCAGGGAATATATTCTGCCTAGCTTGAGATTTGAAAAGAAACTTTCTGGGTAGTACTTATTACTTCCAATGTTGAGTCATTCCTGTTAACTGAAACATGGAAACCCTGAATCAAATGTCACTCAACCAGAAGGCCTGAGTTATGAGGGATTTACAGTTGGCTCCGGAACAGTGGTAGTCCAAACGTAATTCCCGTACCAGAATGATTTCTCAAGTTTAGCAATCAGGTGGATTATCTTCATTTGAGCCGTGCAACCTACCGAGATGCAAGCTCTTACATTACACATGAAAGTTCAAGTACCTTTGACCATTCGAGGACTCTTACTTTTTGCATCATCTACACACAATACCTCAAAGAAAGTAACCCTCGGTAATTATCTCAGAAGATTTTTAGGGACCAAGGTCAATTACCTTCCGAATCTCATCCAGCACCGTCTCAAAGGACTTTTTGTCCATCTTGAGCACTATTCCGACGTGGCTTCTCACAGTTCTTCTGGAAACGAGGAAACGCTCATCCCAGGTACGCCCCATGGATAATACGCCAGAAGGAAAAAAAGGAGGCGAGGAGGTAGAGAGTACTGCAAACTGCACCCAAACAAAGCAAAAATCCCCCAAACGAAAACTTAGAAAAAGTTTTTATTTAAAAACAGACTTCAGTAGGTTTTCCACACACGGACTGGGGCGTTTGCAGAAACCGGGCTCCGGAGGGCGCCGAGGGCCGGGCGCTCCGAGGGGAAGGTCGCTGCGCCACGCGCCGCTCACCGCCGCGATCTGGGACACATGGCCCGGAAGGCGCTCAGCCCCGCCGCTCCGCCCGACCCCCGGGGCTCCGCAGCTTCGGCAGCCGGCGGCCGTGCAGGTTCTTTGTTACCCGTTTTCGTAGCTTCCGGAGCGGGGCCGGCGGTCCGGGCGCACTAGGAGCGGGGCGAACGGGACACAGCCTAGAGCAGGGAGACCCTCGAAGACCGCAGCGCGCACAGGGCCGGGCGCCCTGCAGGAGTACCCCCAGCCACCCCCACCGACTCCCGGGGGGCCTTCGAGAGAACGCGTCGCGTCGTTAGCACGCAACTGTGCACCGACACTTAGGTCGCTATTGCCCCAAAAGACCGCAGCTGGGGTGGGGGGAATGAATGGGTGGGGTCCTAGTGTGGGAATATAGGTATCCTCGGCAACCGCCTGAATGCTTTCGAAACGGATGTGACTGCAGTCCTTTCAAGAGCTTTTTGGTCATTGTTTTAGTGTCCATAGTCCCCATATTCTTGGGTTTTGTGGGTCTAGTTTTGATTATTGAATGTAAATTTAAAAGAGTAGTCGGTGTAAGCCGGTCAGGAAGATCTGCGGGCGCCACCAGGCTAGTGGCTGAAAGAAGCCCGAGGCCAGCAGCGCACCCCTAGCGGGGAAGGGGTGGTCACTGGGTCACACTCCAGGGCACCTGACTTGGGGGGGCGGGGGCGGGGGAAAGAGGAGCAGGAAATGCGGAATTTAAGTTTCTCTGGTCTAGTTTTCAGGTGCTTTACGTTCCAGGCTTCTGCTGTCCCAGAGGGGGGGGCGGCTTCAGTCCCCCGCCGTCCTTCGCCTCCCGGATCCTCAGGATGGCGAGAGTCTGGGTCTGCGTGGGAGGCGCCGTCCTCTTTCTTTCCTGTCTGGTTTTGCATGCCTGCTACAGTGGCTCTCTGGTGAATAGCGGGGATGGGGCTGCCGGGCGGGTGTGGGTGACGCCGAGAGCTGCAACCCCAGAGGCACCAAACCTGCTCCCGGGGCTCGACAGCTGCCCATTTGCCTTCTCTTAGAATTAAAACGTATGTGTGTCGGGGCTGAGGGGTTAGCGCGGAGGTTGGAGAGCTCTTGCACAAGGCTAGGGTTCGATTCCTAACACAAACATGAGGGCTCACTTACCCCATTGTAACTCACTCCAGTTCCAGGGGACCTGATGCCCCTTTCTGGCCTTTGTTGGTACATGGTGCACCATGTGAGCACTCGGGCTCACACATATGCGTGTAAATAAAACTAAATACGGCCTTTTATAAAATAGATACATACTGGATTTTCTTCCCCAGCACTTACTACACTTTTGAGCCATTTGCAGACTTTTATTGTGGTTGTTTTGATCTTTAGACATAAAACCCTGTTTATCTGGCCTTATTCTGGCTACCTTCTTGTGAAGGCAAGCTTAAAGATAAACAAAAGATAGGGACACGTTGTACTTCCTTTTTTTTTTTTTTTTTTTTTTTTTTTTTTTTTTTTTTTTTTCCTGAAGAAAAACTGAACCTGGAGGTTTATTTTATTTTAGGTTTTAGGACATTTGCTTTTTACATACCCTGGAGAAAGGAGAATACTCTTTTCCGGCTGGATTTGGGTTGGCCCAAGTATTCAGAATACTTCACTGGTTCCACATTTTCTGTTGCAGTTGACTCCCTCAACGGGTTAGTTTATGTAGCTCAAGTAAGTAGAATGAATATTTAATGTATGTGAGCCGGTGAGTTGCAGAGATCAGAGTGTGAATGTGGAGATATGAGGAAACTTTTTGGGATTTGGTTTTCCCATCCTTCGAAAGGTTTCAGAGATGAAACCGGTTGTCAGGCTTGCTTAGGCCACAGATATCTTTATAAATTATGCACATTCAACTTTATTACAGCAAAAAAGAACAGTCAACCTGAGCATGACAAAAGAAAAAGAAAAAAAATAACAGTAACAAAAGTGACTTATCGCACTAGATAGCCAATTGCATTTATACTGTATTTATTTTTACTACATTTATGTTATGATAATTATGCACCTTAATTTTGACTTGGCTTCAACTACATATTTTAGATTTGTATGTAATAGATGTTATTGTTAAGTTACTTTGAAGTTAGCTTTTTACACATTACTAAGTTTCTCAATTATCCTTTAATTTTGGTTTCTCTCTGACAAAAATAAGGGTTAGCATTCCTATTAAGTGATTCTAAGCAGTTATTTTTGTATGCCTTCAGAGGGAGGGGATAACATCCCCATGGTATTAGTGTTCACAGAGGGATGGATATTTCCTCACAGAGCCTGAATTATACAGTTGACACACCCCATGGTATATTTGTCTCCAGCACACCATATGAACAGTCCGTCTGGATCACGGACGAGGAAGTGGTATGTGTCGTATTGTCTATTAAATTGCCTTCAGATGGAATTCAGATCTTTGCCCCTGTTCTTGCTTGTACGTTTTAAGGCCAGCATTGCTGAATCTAATCATAATTTCTTCAACATTTCACAAATCTACATCACATTCCTGTTGAATCAAGAAATTGAATGATGCTATTAATCATGATATTTTAAGCTTGCTTAAGGGAGTGGGTGTGTGTGTGTGTGTGTGTGTGTGTGTGTGTGTGTGTGTGTGTGTGTGTAGGCGTGCATGGTGGGAGGGTTGTGGCCAGAGTGTCATTCCTTGGGGGTCTATCAGCCTTGTCATTTGCAAACAAGACCTCTCACTGGCCTGGAACTCTAAGGCAGGCTAGGCTTACTGGCCAGTGAGCCCCAGGGATCTCCCTTTCTTCCCGTCTCAATGCTGATTACAGTGCACCAAGCATACTCAGTGGGCTTTTTGTTTTTTAATTTATTGTTTTGTTTTGTTTTTCCATAAATGGTTCTAGATCTGGAACCCAGGTCCTGTACTTTGAGTGACAGGCATTTTCCTGGTAGACTGAATTACCCTCCCACCCCGCAGTTCAACATCTTTCCTTTGAACCTTAAGTTGCTCTTCTCCGAGTAATCCTAACCTCCTCTGTAAAGTCAAACCAGATGCCAGTGTTTTTAAAGGAAATCACTGGACTCTTAACTCCCCCTTTATATCTGTTGCCTTTTTAAAGAGTGAACAGAAGTAACTAGAAGCTGCTGTTTGTTGCCCCAGAGAGGAAAGGTTGCAGAAGCTGGATGTCTAACTGTTGCAACATTCCATTGACTTGACTGTGTCAGAAATCTTCTTCCCTGAGATGTTTTTACTTGACAGTGTTGGGAAACAAAGTAGGCTCAATAGCTTCACAGCTGCAAAGGAACTTAGCAGAGACCACCCTCCACTTGTGGAGCTGGTGCCTCCAACAACAAACACTCTGGGTCAGTTTCTAATGACAGTCCAGCAGGCATGGGCTCATCAGGGAGGATGTTGCTAGAGTCCCTTGGTCTGGTTATGTCTTTGGCTTGAAGGACATCCTGCTTCCCAGTGCTGATAAGGCTCACCACTTTAGAATTGGTAAGGTGTGTGCTTTTTGTGAGTACAACTGTTGTCAGTCTTGTTCACAGGATGCAAAAGATTTCTGGGGCCCCAGGTATGGCAGCAGGCAATCCATTTCCCTTTAGTCTTTATTTTGGAAGGTAAATGTTGGAACATCTCAATATTGGCAGTCAAAGCGTAGTTAAGGCTGTCCCTTTTCTAAGTCTTTACTTAGAAAAACAATACTTTTCATCTTTTCTCCTTTTTATCTCTTTTTCATCCTTTTAAATGCTTGCCAAAGTCTGGGCATGCTGCTCTGAATACTGCATGAGGTGCCTCTAAGCTTCATGGCTTTCCTCAGTTTCTTCTCCGTCTTCTCTGAGGCACCCTGTTGAGATTACAGCTTGGATTCCCTGAAGTTTTCTCTCTAAATCCTAAGAACATTGGCCTTGAACGTATAAGTAGATCTAGGAGTGGGATTGATGCCCTGTGGTTTTAGAACACTTGTTCTCTCCAGGGGATCTAGGTGCATTCATTTCCCAGCAATACATGGCAGCTCACAACCATCTGTAACTCCAGTTAACAGGGAGCTGATGCCCTTTTCTGGTTTGGTCTTGTACTGTCACAGACATGCAGGCAAGCACTCATATACAGAAAATAAAGTTAAAAAAAAAACCTTTTGGAAGTATATGAGTTTATGCAATACTTTAATGAGATTCATTGTTTTCTGTCTTCTCTGTCCCCAGGAATTCACTTGAAAGACCCTTTATATTTAATTTATTCTATTCATGTCATTTAAAAAGAAGAGTGCTGAAACGTCACTGGTTCCCAGAAGTAAATGCATTGCAGATGCTCTTGGCTTTCCATTGTGTCTTGTTTTCCACCCTCAAATCCCAGAAACTATTTTTATGTCTTCCATTTTCAAATGAATTGATTTCCTCCAATGAAGATTTGGCTGCAAGTCAACCACTTAAAAAATTAATAAGTACTCCATCCTCCTTCCCAAGTCCTTAGAAACTTTGAGGTGTGCTTTATCTAATTGTTTATGTTTCTCTGTGGCTGAAAACTTGAAATGCTCCGGATTAGATCCAGTGCTGAATAAGTGTACTCCAGGTGGACCTGTAAAGTGCGGGCTGACTGACTTGACTCCTGGTAAACCAGTTCTTTGGATGCCTGAAGGTTACTTAATGGCCTTCTGTGCCTTCAACCTGGCTCCTGATAAACTGCTGCATAGTTTCCTTACATGCTCTGGCTTTATTTTGTAATTTGTGGGTGTCATTTTAGTGTCCGAGGTTATTGAAATTATTTTCTCTCAAGAAATGATCAATTTTGATTTTGTTTC